AGCTTCTTCTAGGCCTCACATACAGGTGCAGGGACCCAGTGACTTAGACCATCCTCTGCTGCCCTCCCAGGTGCATTAGCAGGGAGCTGGATAGGAAGTGGAGCAGCCAGGACTCAAACCGGCGCCCATATGGGAGGTTGGCACTGCAACCCACCGTGCCACCAGTACTGGCTCCAGGGGTGAGCATTTGGCCTAGCAGTTAAGATGCTGGCTAGGGCATCCACGTCCCACATCAGATTCCCTGGGTTTGACTCCTGGCTCTAGCTCAAGATTACAGCTTCCAGCTAATGCAGACTGTGGGAGGCAGCAGTACTGACTCAAGTGGTTGAGTTCCTCCCACCCATGTGGGAAACCTTGATTGCCATTCCCAGTTCCTAGCTTTGGCTGCTGTTGCTCAGTTGCAAGCATTTGAAGGAGTGAAATAGTAGTAGTATCCCTCTCTCACTCAAATAAAACTTAAAAATACAAGTGGTAGGTCCAATGCATAACCAAGCAGTAAATAATATTACATATTCTATTCTGGATATGATCCTGATCAGTTGGCAATTATTGGGCACTACTCTTTTTTTTTTTTTAATTTATTTGAGAGGTAGAGTTACAGACAGTGAGAGGTAGAGACAAAGGTCTTCCATCCACTGGTCCACTCCCCAGATGGTCGCAACGGCTGGAGCTGCGCCGATCCGGAGCCAGGAGCTTCTTCTGGTCTCCCACACAGGTGCACAGGCCCAAGGACTTGAGCCATCTTCTACTTCTTTCGCAGGCCATAGCAGAGAGCTGGATTGGGAGAGGAGCAGCCAGGACTAGAACCGGTGCCCATATAGGATGCTGGCACCACGGCAGAGGATTAACCTACTGTACCACAGCACCGGCCCCACACTACTCTTCTAAGAGGAAACTCTCAGCAATTTTTAAGTTCTTTTTAATGTTTATTCATTTATTTTATTTATTTGAAAGGCAGAGACACGGAGGGAGACTGACAAAAGTCTAATCTGCTGGTTCACTTCCCAAATACCCACAACTGCTGGGACTGGGCTAGGCTGAAGCCAGGAGCCCAGAACTCAATCCAAGTTACCCACTTAGGTGGCAGGGACCCAATTTCTTGGAACATTATCTGCTGCCTCCCAAGGTATGCATTAGCTGGAAGCTGGAATCTGGAACAGAGCTGGGACTTGAATCCATCCACTCCTGTAGGGCATGTGGGCATCCCAAGTGTTGTCTTAACCATTGCATCAAATGCCTGCTCTCAATTTTGAAGTTTTTTAGCCAACTGAAAACCTTTGTATGAAGATTTCTTCAATAAAGTATAACAACCTATTTGTGCTATTTAACCTGCAGCTGAACAATATTTACAATCACTTCTATGTCGACACAGCTATTAGGATGATAAGGACAAAATGCTCTAGGCTCTTTAAAACCGCCTTGCAGGGGCCAGCTCTGTGGTTCACTTGGCTAATCCTCCGCCTGTGGCGCCAGCATCCCACATGGGTGCTGGGTTCTAGTCCCAGCTGCCCTTCTTCCAGTCTAGCTCTCTGCTGTGGCTCGGGAAGGCAGTGGAGGATGGCCCAAGTGTTTGGGCCCCTGCACCCGTGGGAGACCAGGAGGAAGCACCTGGCTCCTGGCTTTGGATCGGCACAGCGCCGGTTGTGGCGGCCATTTGGGGAGTGAACCAATGGAAGGAAGACCTTTCTCTCTGTCTCTCTCTCACACTAACTCTATCTGTCCAAAAAAAAAAAAAAAAACCACCTTGCAGAATATAAGCCATACATAGCTCATTGTCTTAACTTTGTTATCAAAAAGGCATCCCTCAAAGTACCTGAAGTTGTTAACTGAAGCACTATTTGGCCAACAGGTGTGTTTAATTTTCAGGTTCAGCTACTATATGGAGTGTTTCAAGTGTATATACCAACTTGGACTTCTCCTTGAAGAGTCCAAGTATAATGAAATGGTCTGCCCATTACAAAGGTGCTTAAGCCTGCAACACAAGTTCAGTGAAAACTTAAAAGACCTTAAAACATTTTTTTAAAAGATTTACTTGAAAGGTAGAGTTACAGAGAGGGAGAGACAGAGAGAGGTATTCCATCTACTGGTTCTCTCCCCAAATGCCACAACAGCTACAGCTGAGCCAATCCCAAGCCAGGAGCTTCTTCCGGGTCTCCCATGTGGGCGCAGGGGGGCCCAGGCACTTGGGCAATCCATGGCTTTCCCAGGCCATAGCAGAAAGCTGGATCAATCAGACGTCAATTGGCACCCACATGGGATGCCAGTGCCACAGGTGGGAGTTTAACCTACTACGCCATGGCACCAATCCCTTAAAACATTTTTTGATGACTCAGAAGAGAAATCCAAACACAAATGAAATGAAATGTAATAATTTTATTCAAGTTGTTGATAAAACCCCAATACAACATTTTAACTGCAATTTAGAAAGACATTTTGGAATACTTCAATAAAATTATAAACTATACTTGGTAGATATATACAGTACTTTGTTGTCATTTTTATTAAAGCAGTGAGATAGTTATTGGAAAATGAAACCAAAGTGATAAAGATGAGTGAGAAAAGAGAAACTCTCCTGACATTGAGAATATCTAAAAAGCCTTCCAATCACAAGAAAAGCAATAATTGAAGATTATTTAATAACACACCTTAAATACATGTAATTTTATTATATATATAATTTTATTTGTCCACGGAGGACTGACCTCTCACGCTCTCTCTTTGGGACTCTGTTTCTGCCTTTCAAATAAATAAATAAAACTTTAAAAAAAAAAAGGAAAAGAAAAAAAGAGAGAGGGAGGCAGAGACAATCTTCCATCAGCTGGTTCACTCCCCCAAATGGCTACAAAGGTCAGGGTAGCCAGAACAAAACCAGGAGCCCAGAGCTTCATCTGGGTCTCCCATATTGGTGGCAGGGCCCAAGCACTTGGACCATCCTATGCTGCCTTCCTAGGCCACCAGCAGGCAGCTGAATCAGAAGTGGAGCAGCCGGGATACCCATAGGAGATGTCGGCATACAGGCAGTGGATTTACCCACTATGCCACAAGGTTGGCCCTCTACTCTTCCAAGTTGTTTCCAATTAGCCTCAATATAAAAACCAAAACCCTTAACACAGATCTAGGGCCCTCCTTCCCTCTCTGCTCCATCCACACAAACTTCTCTTGGTTTTGTTGTTTTTTAATGCAACACCTCAAAACCTTTGCATATGCTACACTCTGTGCCCTGGAGGCATTCTACCACCCTACTGTTCTGACAGATTATCTCTTACTCAGACTTTCACTCAAAGTTCACACCTTCAGGGCACCTTAGGCTAGGTCAGCCCTTTACTCCCTAAATGCTAGTTGGACCCTTTACTTTTCCTTTCCACGTCTACTTGTTTCATACACTTCAGTGACTATTAGAGCGCCCATCTCTATGACAGCGGACTAAAAATTCATGGGAGAGAGAATGTCCTCAAAGCACTCGCCCAGTGTCTGGAACAAAGTTGGCACCTACAATCTAAGCCTTGAACCACACTTTGGATATCACTGAAGATGGAACTTATTCTTCAAGCATAATTCTTTCTTGTGGTATAATTCCATTTTGAAAAAGGATTTTTTTTTTGCCATCTGTAGACTTTTTGAAAAAGAAAAATGTAACACAACCAAAGCAACACTTCGTTTTACATTATAAGCCTTCTAGTTGTAGGGTTTCAAAGTGTTTCCACAAATATCACACCTTATAATGCTTTCACTAGTTTTAAAAGCTTTTTTTTTTAAAAAAAAAAAAAAAAGCTTTATTTTATTTGAAAGAGTTACAGAGAGGTACAGAGAGAGGTCTTCCATCTGCTGATTCACTCCCCAGATGGCTGCAACAGCCAGAGCTTCGTCGATCAGAAGGCAGGAGCCAGGAGCTTCTTCCAGGTCTCCCACGTGGGTGCAGGGGCCCAAGGACTTGGGCCATCTTCTGCTTTCCCAGGCCATAGCAGAGAGCTGGATCAGAAGAGAAGCAGCCCAGACTAGAACTGGCGTCCACATGGGATGCTGGCACTTCAGGCGCCCACTGTGCCACAGCGCTGGCCCCTAAAAGACTTCTGACAGTCCAGTTTAGAGAAAATACACTTTTGTTATCAGAAAGGAGTTAGCTCTGTTGTATTGAGTCTTCAAACAGTTCATGGAAAACGAGTATTATAAAAGAACTATTTTTAAAAAATACACTTTTGTACCAAAAGAATCCCCTTTAATTCCATTTTCCAAGAATTTTTGAGGTCCCCTGGTGTGACCTGATCGCCTTGCCGGGGGAACATTTGTTTTTATAGATTTCAGCAGGGTGACCACAGAAGTTATATGTAATCGCTAGCTTCAAGGACTACTAACTTCCCTTAAAGATTGCTTACAAATGCGGTTGGGTGCCCAGGTTTCAGAGTTCTTCCTTTTGTTCGATGCCTGTATCGCCTCGCAAGAGGGTTTTCAAAAACTCAACAAGGAATACTAGCGTAACGCTACCAGGTTGGTTTGAAAAGACATAACCAGGCTTTGGAGTTAAGGGAGCTGCTTTGAAATCCAGCGCCACATTTAACAGCTGAGCCCAAGGAGAATGTTAACACCCACCTCACAAACAGTGGAGAAAATGATAAACGGCTCGGCACAAGAGCCCTGAGTAAGCGCTCCCTGACTCGGGGGTTACACGCGGTAGAGCCCCGCCTTTCCCACCCGCTCGCTCATCCTGGATCCTCCAAGTGCACGCAGGTCCTCTTCCTCGGCCAGCGTCCGCAGCCTCCCGTCACCCCCACCGCGTTCCAGCTTCTCTTTCCTCCATTTTAATCGCTCCACTAAGCGCTCACAAACAGGTCCTACTGGAACGCTTACGAGGCCTCAGCTCGAGGCACGCAGGCTCCGGGGCTCGCCTGGCTTCATCGCCCCTTCCCAGCCGCTGCCCCGCGCTTCCCTCCTGCCCGCCCCCTCCTGCCGCCCCGCCCACTGCCGCCAGCCACGTGACCACGCGGCGTGCTCCGCCCCCATCCTCCACTCACGTGATCGCGCCTGGGGAGAAAACGCCTGACCCCAGTCCCTGGCCTTCACGCCACAGCCTGTTCGCCCAGCGACTCGTCTGCCGGTCGCACTTCGGTGTTCTGCGCGTCCCTCCACCCCAACCCGGGGTTTTCCTGGAGCCTTGTCCGCCATGCGGCTCCTGCCTCTGGCTCCAGGTGGGCCCCGGTGGGACAGCCGCCGCCACCTGCCCTCCTGCGGCCGCGCGCTGCTGCTGCTGCTCCTACTGCTGGGCGGCTGCCTGGGGGTCTCCGGGATGACGGCGGGCTCGCGGAGGCCCAACGTGGTGCTGCTGCTCACCGACGACCAGGACGAAGTGCTCGGCGGCATGGTAACTCTTCCGTTCCTGCCCCGCCCCTCCATCTCCCCGGCTGCCTCCCCGGCTTCTCGCTCTCTTTCCCCGCGGCCCCGCCCTCCCTCGCCCCGGACTGGCCGCCTTGACCCTGGGTAGGTTTGGTTTTGCCACTCCAGGCCCTTCACGCAGGTTAGATGGGCCGCAGGACTCTGGTTCCACACCATGCTTCTGGTCTGGACCGTACTGCTGCGGAGTTGGCGTTCATATCTCAACGCAAACGTGTGGGCGCCAGCTGAGGAGGGGTTAAACCCAAGAGGAGCAGGTGCGGGCCGAGAGCACGCAAACCTCGATTGTTTTCGTTTGGGGTTAGGATCCGAGGACAGGTCCAGCCACCTTTCCGAAGGACCTAGGCCACTTCTGCATTTGTGCCCGTGTTCAGAGTCTGTGCCTGTTAACCTATAAATACGTGATGACATGAAGCAACGCGGTAGATAAGCGGTGGAACTATTGAGAGCGTGTTTTGTCTCGCAGGAATCAAGGGAATTCAATCAATCTAATTGGACACCTGGCTGATGCAGTTTATACTGTCAGTATTTCATGTTCTACCTAATGGGTGTTGTCGTCGGACTTCATTCTTCCGCACGGTTCATTTTGCCTCTGTTTCTTAGAAGTTCTGGAATTTATGACCTTCCGGAACATTTACCCCCAAACCCTATTCATGAAAGGGGCTTGCTGAAGGTATATTTGTCAGCTCTTGCCTCAAGGTACAGTCGAGACAAAACCCTGGCTAGTCCTTTGATTCTGGGGTCCAACATACCTCTCTTCAAAAAAAAAAAGAAAAAAAGAAAGAAAAGAAAAGAAAAACCTTATTGCTTGCGGTTTTTTGGTTCTGTTTTTGCTTTCAGCTAAATGCTGAAACTGAAAACACTCCAGGCTGGAGATGCCTGGCCAGTGTGGCAACACCGTGGCTCAATGTCCTGCAGACTTCGGTCCCAACCAACCTGGTGGGTTGTGAAATCAAGGTAGTGGGTAGCTACCAACATTTTTGCTTCCCTTTGGAATCGGGTAGAATGGAAGTTGTTGGTGTGTGCTACATGTGGTAATAGTAAGCATATCTAAATGTATATGCTCATAGGCATGGATTCAAAATTTGTGGAACCAAAATAAGCTTCCTTTAATTCCACTTCCTGTGAACTATTTTAAGTACCCTCTTCTGTGTTGTGAAGTACAGTAAATTTCTTATTCGGGTTGTGCTCAAAAGTCTGAGCGGCTTTTCTAGCCGATGTTTAAATACTTGCATTTTCACTCCACACTTCCACGTATTCCTCCTTGCCTTTTAGTGCATACACAATCATGTTGATATCAGAGCGCTTTGGTTTAATTTCCCTCCTGGATTTTACCTTGGTTTCACCACCTTTCCAACTGCTACACTTATCCTCCTGTTCACAAAACTCCTTTATTTTTTTAAAGTATCCCTAAAGAATGTTTTGTCCAAAAACATACCATCTCTATTACGGACTAACGCATTTAACTAAGGTCAAGCTTTGATAAATCTGCTAAAACGAGACTTATTACTTAAGTATCTGGTGTTCAGAATTCAGTTTCTTAGCACACCCATCTTTATATTTAAGGTCTGTAAGTACAGTAATCTTATTTGCTTCTTTAAACCAGTAGCAGATTCCTTTTTAAGTGTTACACTGGAGAGAGGACCTAACATTTAGTAGAAGGAACAAATCAAAATTAATGCTCCTGACACTCTGGAGACTTCTACCACATCTTGTAGCCTTTTCCAGAATATTCTACCACTGGTTGTCAAGCATGTCCTAAGGGGAAGAGCTGAGACAGTAACAGCATTTGAGAATTTACATGGTGCCAGGGAGAGTATCAGGTGTTTTTCACTCGTGCTTCAATCACTGCAGGAGTGTCCCCTGCTGTATGAAAGGTGGTGAAGTGACTTGGCCAAGGTTCACGTAACTAACAAGAGGCAAAGCCTGGGTGTTGTATGATCCCAGAGCAGCAGGCTTTTCTCCTGTCTAGACTGCTATGATGATACTGATGTCAGTGGAGTCAGCCACTTAATTTACATTTGAGGGTACAGCAAGAGGTTAGTGGGGAAATGTGAATTTAAGAGATGACTTTATTTTGGTGCAAAAATTTTAAAATTCGTTCGTGTTTTTTTTCATGATGTGCATTTCTCATGAATTTTTGAAGACCTTGTATATAATTTATTGTGTGTAGTATCTTTATTTTTGTGGTGAAGGGGAATTCTCTGACCCTAAGAAGATTACAGATTGCTGCCTAATGGGCAAAATAAGCAGTAGTCAACTCCTCCACACTAACTCAAGTCAAAGGATTTGTAGCAAATGGGTTATTTTGGCTTAATGTAGAATTTTTCAGTCTTAGAAATAGTCTTCTGTGTAACAGCTTCTTCTTCAGCATGTCCCACTCTTTGTTGGGGTATTATCTGAGATGACTTCATTTTTACTGCCTTGCCCAGAGACCTCTACTTACCTATTTCTATTAAGCACCGTTACGACGTGATGGGCACTTCACATGTTGGTCTTTTTAAAATCATTCCCTCTAGAAAAAAGTAACCTCAAGTGTCGCTCCCCATCTTCGTGGAGGAACGACACAGGACCCTGCGCTGTTCTTTCATCTGCTCGGCCCTCCCCGGGTTTGCTGCTGGTTCTTCCCGGGTTGGCTACTGTCCCTTCCACCTCCGTGGAAGGGCAGTTCCCCCTGGCCGCTTTCCCCACTTCCGCAGGGGAGCGGCACTCCGCCGGCCGGCTCTCTCGGGGGCTGCACAGGTGTTCCCTTAGATGTTCCCCTTAGATGTTCCCGGTGCATGCCGTCTCTCTCCTCCTTTATAGTCCTCCTCTGCCAATCCCAACTCGGCTGCCCACACGCCGAGTACGCTGCTCTCCTCCAATCAGGAGCAAGTCCTACAGTTTATTGGCTGAACTGGAGGCACCTGTGTAGAAGCTGTTTTCTCTCCCAGCGCCATATTGTGGGAGAGCAGATGCATAGAATAAGTCTTAATTCCAGTAACTCAGTCTAGTCCGGGTTGCTCCCCACACTCAAGGAAGTGAGGGAAGGAGCTATGATGAAATGTGGGGGAAGAACAAATACATCCTGTCTTTGCTCTGCTTATAGCCAAGTAGTTCCTGTTGTTAAAAAGAGAGCGACGGCATGATCAAGATGATTAAAACTATTTCAGAGCAGCTGACCATGGGCCCCGGAAACTGAGTGACGCCTTAGGGTTTTGGAGGAAAGAATTTTGTTTGGAATGAGTCAAGTACAACTTTGGCTCTTATGAGAGTATAACACTGGCTGCTGGCTGCTGCTTTTTTTTTTTTTTTTAATTATTTATTTGAAAGGCAGAGCAACAGCAACAGAGTGAGCAAGCGTCTATCCTCTGATTCACTCCTGAAATGGCTGCAACAGCCAGGGCCAGTCTGAAGCCAGGAACCTGTATCTCCTACCTGAGCCAACCTCTGCTGCCCTTCTAGACATATTAGCAGGGGGCTGGGTCAGAAGTGGAGCAGCCAGGACTCAGACATGGGATGCTGACATTGCAAGCAGTGGTTCAACCCGCTATGCCTCAAGGCTAGCCCCTGGCTGCTGCTTAAAGACTGTTGTATGACCTTAACCCCACCAATCTCTGTCTTTGCTTGGATCTTAAGGATCTGTCTTAAATTCAGATTGGATGAACACACATACATGTTTTCAGTACAATATGGTTTTTCTTGTGTGGGAGTTTGTTAATTAAGCACACATTATGATTGTTTACTACAGATGATGGTACTAGTACTAACAATATAAGGATCAGTTATTTTTTTTAAGATTTATTTATTTATTTGAAAGAGTTACAGAAACAGAGAGGCAGAGAGAGAGAGAGGTCTTCCATCCACTGGTTCACTCTCCAGTTGGCTGTAATAGCTGGAGCTGCACCGATCTAAAGCCAGGAGCTTCCTCTGGGTCTTCCCACACGGGTGCAGGGACCCAAGGACTTGGGCCATCTTCTATTGCTTTCCTAGGCCACAGCAGAGAGCTGGATGGGAAGTGGAGCAGCCAGGACTTGAACTGGCACCCATATGGGATGCCGGCACTGCAAGCAGCGGTTTTATCCACTATGCCACAGCACCAGCTTCAAGATCATAGTTATTAATGTTTTTTTATCAGACTAAAATCAAGATTCCTGTGCAGCCTTGCATCATCATCTGGCCCCTGCCTCTCTGATCTTGTCATTCCCCACTCCCCCCTTCACTTGCTGAGCTGCTTCTGCTGTGCTGCCCGCCCTTCTCTGCCTGCTTCCTCTGGCAGCCTTTGGGCTTCTGTTCCTTCAGCCCAGAAGCCCCCTTTCCTGATCTTTGCTTGACTAGCTCCTCGTGAGGCTTTCACGAGAATTCCTTCCTAAAAGAGGCTTTTCTGATCACCCAGCTGAAGTAGTTCCCCAGCTTTCTTCTGTCAGCTGCAGTCACACCAGCCTGGTTTATTCCCTTCACGGCACTTGTCACTGCTGGAAATGATCGATCGCTTGTTTACCTGTTGAAGCTGAGGGTAGAAGGCTCAAGAAGGAGCCTTCTGTCTTTCTGTCTGCTGTTGCCTAGATCAGTGCCTGGCACATGTTAAGTATTTAATAGATGTGTCATCACATAGGATAGCCTTACTATAAGTCAGATATTCTACAGTTCGGTTGCGTATTTATCAGTTTGATGATTAAGGCCCATACAGTCAGCTTACATGTTCCTTTTCCTCACTTGCATGTCACATTCTGGTTTTCCCTCCCTCTCTGTCCAGTCTGTGTTTTTCATTCAGCCCAGTATTCTTTCCCTGAGGTCAGTACCCAGTGGTGTCTTGGAGAGCTGGCGATGTTGCTCCTGAAAGTTAGCAGTCTCCAGCACCTCCTGGGACCCTGTTGAAGATCTGTCCAGGAAATTATCAAAGCTCTGCTTGAATAAGTTAGAATTTTCATCCTGTTGAGCTTATGGGTTCCTTAGGTCTTCTGTCTCTCTGTATAGAGCAGTGGAGAAAAGTCATTTAGACACTATTGAAAATCAGGCCCTTGTTAGCCTAGTTATACATTTGAATTATCTTTAATGATTTATTACACAAGGAAATATACTTAAAACTGCATTCTGGGCCGGCGCTGCAGCTCGCTAGGCTAATCCTCCGCCTTGCAGCGCTGGCACACTGGGTTCTAGTCCCAGTCGGGGCGCCGGATTCTGTCCTGGTTGCCCCTCTTCCAGGCCAGCTCTCTGCTGTGGCCAGGGAGTGCAGTGGAGGATGGCCCAAGTACTTGGGCCCTACACCCCAAGGGAGACCAGGATAAGTACCTGGCTCCTGCCATCGGATCAGCATGGTGCGCCGGCCACAGTGCGCTGTCTGCGGCAGCCATTGGAGGGTGAACCAACGGCAAAGGAAGACCTTTCTCTCTCTCTCTCTCTCTCTCACTGTCCACTCTGCCTGTCAAACAAACAAACAAAAAAACTGCATTCTGGGGCTTTTGCTGCAGCAGTTAAGGTGCCACTTGGGTTACCTGCATCCCAAACAGGCCCTGGCTCCTCTGCTTCCAGTCCAGCTTCCTGCTAATTGCATACCTGGGGAGGCAGAAGGTGGTGGCTCAAGCAGCTGGGTCCCTGCCACTCTGGGAGACCCAGGTTTGGTTCTGGACTCCTGGCTCGGCTCTGGCTGTTCCTGGCACAAGGGGAGTGAATCAGCAGGTGGAAGAGCTTGCACGTGTGTGTTCCTCGCCCTTCCAGCCCCCTCTGCTCCATATTTGCCTTTAAAATAAAATAGTTTTTTAAAAACATTCAATATGATCTTAGATGTTGACATTATTTCAGAATCATCATGGACTGAATGTAGTACAACTAAAATGGGCTTCTTTGGAGTGGTGATTTGGCTCTGAAATATTTTCACATAAGTGGTCCTTTTATTTTCATATTTTTCTTCTCACTCTAGGATCTAATTGTTTGCTGTACTTGTCAGGTCTTAGATTTTTAATGAACGAATGAAAAGGCTGTAAACAAAATAATTTCCGACTGGCGTTCTGCCTGACAGAGTTCTGTGTCTACCTTCCTACTGCTGGTTTAAGTCCAGTCCCCGGGGTGGTGACTGGTCTAGTGCAGGGGCAGTGTACCCATAGCTGAAACGTGTCTGGGCTCCCCACTGTGCGAGATTTGAGTCAGCCTCTGAGCTTTAGGATCCTGTCCAGCTTTCTGAATCCAAGTGTTGTCTGTCTGCTCTTAGAAAGGGCAGAAGACGCCTTTCTTACAATTTCCCACACCCTACTTCTAAAGATGAATCCGTGGACGTAGGTCTGCCCTCTCTACCACATAAGTGAGCTGGTGGCCAGTAAGAAAAAGGCACCAGAATTTCTTTAACACTGAAGTCTCCTGGCTGGAATAATGCTATCAGCTGTGAACTTTACCTTGCTGATGGATTCTGACCCAGGCACCTTTGCACCTGAGGCAGCTGACTATAACCAAACCTGTTTGGTTCATCTCTACTCTCTGAGGACTGATTTGGCTGTTGACAGAGCCATGTGTTTAGGAAGAAAAGATTGTTGCAAGATGTATCAAAAAGTGAATTGTGATCTGTGTGGTTTATTTATCAGTAGAAATAACTGTTTAACAATTACTTATTTTCTAGACACCACTGAAGAAAACCAAGGCTCTCATTGGAGAGATGGGGATGACTTTCTCCAGTGCTGTGAGTTTTGAAACTAATTTAATTTTGTTAGACTTGAATTGTTTGTGTTTTAAGAAAAAAACACTCCTTTCTCAGTTGTCTGATGTAATCTTTGTGTTTTTTCCCTAGTTACATGCCTGATCAGAAGGAAAAATAAAATCTTTTAGTTGAAATATTCTTAAGATTAATTGCAGGTTTTTCCTAAGCCAGTCTTCTACATATCAGAATTAGAGTTTTATTTAACATCTCACTGTTTGAGGTTTGAAAATGGGTTAGAAGAATCAAATAATATTTGTGCTATATAAATTCTATGATGAAAGCTCAATTAGCCATGATAGCCAAATCTTACAAAGATAATACCATATATATATACACACACACATATATATACTGTCACACATATATAACACATAATATGTAAAAGCATGGGTGCAGACAGCTAAAATATTAATAATTTGGGTTGAAGAACCAGGTACATGGTAGCCTAGGAACGGAAGATTAATGTCAAGAAACCCACTTAACAGTAGCATGGCATTATACTTAAGGGCACAGACCCTGTAATCACACTGCCTACTTCTTTTTTTTTTTTTTGACAGGCAGAGTGGACAGTGAGAGAGACAGAGAAAGGTCTTCCTTTTGCCATTGGTTCACCCTCCAGTGGCCGCCACGGCCGGTGCAATGTGGCTGGCGCACCGCGCTGATTCGAAGGCAGGAGCCAGGTGCTTCTCCTGGTCTCCCATGGGGTGCAGGGCCCACTGCCTACTTCTGAATACTCTCTTCTGGCTCTTTTCTAGCTCTGTGACTTTGGGCTAGTTATTCAACATCTCTGGCCCTGGTTTTCCCATTTGTAAATGGAAGTCCTAAAAGCCCTTTCATCAGTGTGTGACTTGTACTACACAGTGTTAGTTATTATAATGCCTACCATGATATCAGTAATTGAAAGAAGGAAAGTTAAATATTTATCTCAATGGATGCTTAAGTCCTTAAATTTTAACATCCTTTCTGGTAATTTATTAAACTGTTAAAAGAGTACATCGTTTCAAATGATGAGTATTTCAAACAAACAGCTCACATTATACTTAGAATGAAAGACTCAGGATATTATTGTTAGCGTTGAGACAAGACCTAATTTTTCCTTTAATGTTACATCTAGTCATTACTATAAGCATTATGGAAATAATAGGTAAAATAATTAGAAAAAGAAAACTGTTAATTCCACTTTTTGGATTTTTTTTATCTCAAAAACAGAATTGTCAAAACTTTTTAAATAAGTAGAATTCAGTGAAGTAAAAATTAAGATAAAAATTAATTTCTTGTGTATAACCAGTTAGAGATATAGAAGGGAAGAATTGAAATTTTATTCATAAAAGGTGGAAATTAATACAGGGGCCAGGGCTGTGGTATAGCGGGTAAAGACACCGCCTGCAGTGCCAAGCATCCCACATGGGCGCAGATTCAAGTCCCAGCTGCTCCATTTCCAATCCAGCTCTCTGCTATGGCCTGGGGAAAGCAGAAGATGGCCAAAGACCTTGGGCCTCCTCACCCACATGGGAGACCCGGAAGAAGCTCCTGGCTCTTGGCTTCAGATCAGTGCATCTCTGGCCATTGCGGCCAGTTGGACAGTGAACCAGCAGATGGAAGCCCTCTCCCTCTGCCTCTCTGTAACTTTGCCTTTCAAACAAATAAATCTTTAAAAATAAAAATACAATATAAGTAGAAACTAATAAACACAAACTAATAGTGACCAGAAATGTTTAAGACTGAAATAGTTACAAAACTTTGATAAAAACACTGATACACAGATATGCACATCATTTTTTTGTGGGAAGACAATATTATAAAATAGTTATTAGAATCCCAAGGAGATTGTTTTTAGACTCAGCTATGATTTTAAAAGTTATCTGGAATAATAAACATATGGGGAGAGGTAATTTTTTTTAAAGAATTTGAGAGGTAGAGTTACAGCCAGAGAAAGGGAGAAGGAGAAAGAGATCCTCCATTCGCTGGTTCACCCCACAGATGCCACAGTGCCAGAGCTGAGCCGATCTGGAGCCAGGAGCTTCTGCCAGGTTTCCCATGCAGGTTCAGGGGCCCGAGCACTTGGGCCATCTTCTACTGCTTTCCCAAGCCATAGCAGAGAGCTGTATTGGGAGAGGAGCAGCCAGGACTAGAACCGGTGCCCATATAGGATGCTGGCACCACGGCAGAGGATTAACCTACTGTGCTACAGCACCGGCCCCACACTACTCATTTTATCTTTGTTTATAGTGACAGCAGAGTGGACAGTGAGAGAGAGAAAGGTCTTCCTTTTGCCGTTGGTTCACCCTCCAGTGGCGCATCGCGCTGATCCGAAGGCAGGAGCCAGGTGCTTTTCCTGGTCTCCCATGCGGGTGCAGGGCCCAAGTACTTGGGCCATCCTCCACTGCACTCCCGGGCCACAGCAGAGAGCTGGCCTGGAAGAGGAGCAACCGGGACAGAAATCCGGAGCCCCGACCGGGACTGGAACCTGGTGTGCCGGCGCCGCAGGCGGAGGATTAGCCTATTCAGCTGCGGCGCCGGCCAAGGCAATATTTTTTGACAGGCAGAGTGGACAGTGAGAGAGAGAGACAGAGAGAGAAAGGTCTTCCTTTGCCGTTGGTTCACCCTCCAATGGCCGCCGCTGCAGCCGGCGCACCGCGCTGATCCAATGGCAGGAGCCAGGAGCCAGGTGCTTTTCCTGGTCTCCCATGGGGTGCAGGGCCCAAGCACCTGGGCCATCCTCCACTGCACTCCCTGGCCATAGCAGAGAGCTGGCCTGGAAGAGGGGCAACCGGGACAGAATCCGGCGCCCCGACCGGGACTAGAACCCGGTGTGCCGGCGCCGCAAGGTGGAGGATTAGCCTATTGAGCCACGGCGCCGGCCCAATATTTTTAAAGGAAAAAATTTCCTTACCAGTAAACAGTGTAGTACTGGCCATAAAATCAAAAACAAAAAGGGAAAGAATTACTAGTGTCAAAATGACAGAAGTCAAACATCTAATAACATGAAGAGGCAAAAATAAAAACAGAAAGCATTTGTAATGTGGCCGTATCCTTCCTTGAATCTTTTGTTAGAATGGGCCGGCAGCTAAAGAGGAATAAATGACCAAAGCACAGGAATGAACCATTCATAGAAGCACAACTGATCAGGAGGTCATATGTAAAGAAAATCTTGATTCCATTGTGAAACTAAAAATACAGAGGTTAGAGTGTTAAGCAGCTAGCTTTCTCTGTTCTGTTTAGAAATAAGAAACCCATCTGCCGTATGTAACAGTGTCCTTTTTGCTTTCCCTTTGTAGTATGTGCCAAGTGCTCTCTGCTGCCCCAGCAGAGCCAGCATCCTGACAGGAAAGTACCCGCACAATCATCACGTTGTTAACAACACTTTGGAGGGAAACTGCAGTAGTAAAGCCTGGCAGAAGATCCAAGAACCAAATACGTTTCCAGCAATTCTCAGATCCATGTGTGGTTATCAAACCTTTTTTGCAGGAAAATATTTAAATGAGGTATGTTAAATGGTCTTTTTTCCCCATATAGCAGCTTTTTAAACATTCATTTTTGTTCCATTGGTATCTATTCAGATCATCTTAGTTTTTTGTATATGTTGTTTTCTCCAACAAACAAGAACTTATTTACATGAAAATATTTACATGATCTGTGCACAGTAATTATTCTTCCTTTTCAGTAGTCCCAGGAACATTTATGCATTTACCTCAAAATTATCCTGAAACTGCTTTCTATCAGATGAGTCCTCCTTTGTTCCCTCAGGAATCTTGCTTGTCGTGTGGCTGTCCTGGTCTCTTTGTTTCCATTTCCCCTTTATTAGGATCAGAGTGAGACTTTTTTTTTTCCTTTTTAGAATGTTAGCTTTCTTAGACTTGCTTCTAAGTTACAACAACTTAATGCTAACTTGTTTTCTGCCTGAAAATTGGGAACAAATTATGGAGAGATGGTGAGAAGGCAAAGCTCCCAGAGCCTAGCGCACTTGGGCCATGAAGGCATATGGCCAGTGTGCTGGCCTCACTGGCCTGGAGGTGGGGGCTTTTCTTCACTGCAGCGAGGTACCTGAGGCAAGGTACTTCAAAGGAAAGAGGTCCATTTTGGTTCCTGGTTCTGGAGGTGCACAGTGCAAGATCAGGCAGGCGCTGTTGGTTTGGCCTCTGATGAAGATGGTAGGTGCCAGTGGTGGAGTATTTGCAGAAGGATGGCTAGCCACAGAGCAGAGTGGTTGAGCCCAGTTTCACTTTCACAGCTGGCATGGACGAACTACTTCCTGAGGGTGTGTTCCCAGTGACCTAAGGACCTCCCAGTAGGCCCACCTCCTGAACAGTGTAACTGGATTAAGTTTCTGCCTTCTGAGTACTGTTAATTTATGGCTTTGGGTCCTGCGTGAATTAGGAGCCAAATCACGTTCAAATCGTAGCAGAGGGGTTCCTCATTATGAACCGTCAAGGCCAGATTTCATGTCTCCAAGTACCCCCATGTTAACCTAAAGTTTTAGTCCAAGTCCAGATTTAAAGAAAATAGTGTGTTTGGGAGTGTTTGAGATTAACTTTTATTGTAAAACTGGGAATGCCCAACAAAAAGAAGGTGTCTGTTTTTTACAAGCTATTTGTTGTTGTATGAGAGCTTATTTTTTCCATTGATTCCCCCCCATCTCTCCCATAACTGGGAGAGTCTGCAATCTTTTGGATTTAAAGGAAGTTGAGTCACTTTGAGAAGAGTCATGAGATCTAGGAAGTGTGAAAACTTAGTTCCTGCATGAGGGCTGTGGACCATACAGAGAACTTATACTACTTTGCATATTGAAAGTTGTCTTAGTTGTGTAGGAAAGTAGGAGAAATCCTCAGAGTACAAATACTTAGTTCTCAGGGATTAGTTTGCCTTAAATGGGCAGTTTTAAACTTTGTAGCTAGATTATTCTGTAGTGTCTTCACCTATCAAATAAACTCCAGTAGTAGAGTTCATCAGGACAACTGAAGTAATAGGCTGATGGCTCATATTCTGACTGGTCTGGCTGTGGTTAGCCACAAGGTTGGATGGAGTATTCAGTCTGTACCATCAGCAGCTGCACTGGCAGCCCACAAGTGGGCTTTCTTCAGTAGCAGGAAGGATAGTAAGTGTTCTGCTACTGTTTAGCTCTGCCATTGTTACGTGAAAGAAGCCATGGGTAATGTCTAAATGAATGTACGTGGCTGTATTCCAATAAAACTTTATCACTGAAATTTGAATTTCATGTAACTTGCATTTCATAAAATATTCTTGGCTTTTGTGTTTTTAAATGACTTTTAAAAAAAATCTTGCTCGCAGGACAGTTGTCAGGACAGATTAGCCCACTAGCCTTACTTCGCCAATTCCTGCTGTAGAAGTTTCTAGGATTATAGCGTACTTTAACTTTTTTTTTTTTTTTTGCTTTGTTTCTATTCGTTTCTGTGTTTGGGGTAATTGAGCACCTAACTGTGTATCAGGCAGTTTGAAAAGATTCTGAGTTTCCTATTCCTGGTCTGGTCAAGTCTGAAAACTTCTAAAGTCCTCCTTGTCTTGCTTTTCAGTATGGAGCCCCAGATGCAGGCGGACTGGAACACGTTCCTCTGGGCTGGAGTTACTGGTATGCTCTGGTGAGTGATAGTGACAGTTACCACCCTGAGGAGCAAACACAGTATGTTCACTCTCATTGAGTTTGATACTGACATAATTTAGTATACTTTATGGTTAGCTATTTTATCTCCTTAAAGGAGAGTCTATTGACCTGTGAGTCCCTCCTCCCTGGTTTGTCTCCTGTTACACAAGTTTTAGCGGTGTGGCTTGTTTTTCTATTTGCTTCACTTAGTGGCTTTTAAACTAAGATGTTTTATTGAAATTATCCTAGTACTTAATAAAATGCTAGTCAAAAAGTCCAATCTTGAATGAGTACTGTTTAAATAGTGCCAAGACTTAAAAAGGTATAGTTTAGCTAGTGTGGATTCATTCTTTGTGTGTGCTGACTTTGTAACAAGGTTTATTTTCCTTGTTATAATAGGAAAAGAATTCTAAATACTACAATTACACCCTGTCCATTAATGGGAAGGCGCGGAAGCATGGTGAAAACTACAGCGTGGACTATCTGACAGATGTGTTGGTGAGTTCCCGAAGCTCTGTAGCTCCGTCTTTGCAGCTTTGGCTCATATTTAGTAGAAGACTCTTCGTAGAAAACTTTGTCTTATTTGTTTGCATTGGGTAACATAAATGCATAATAACTTGTTCTAACTGCCAACAAAAATCTCCAGCTGATTAAAAACTGAGGGTTTGTTTTTTTTTTCCCTATATAAGCCAGGCTCAGATCTGCTGCTCTTGAAATTCCAGCAACAAATCCCTTTTCTAAAGGTTAATCTCTTAAGACTGAAGAGATTACTGTAGGGGTTTGACTTTATAAGAGTGCCTGTTCTTGATGTCAGTTTTATTCATAAGCTGTAAGATGACAGCTTCATAGGCCTTAGGAAACTAGGGACATAGAGATATGGGAGTTCTTTGGGTACTGTGTATTTTATATATTAAATTATTGGAATCAGATGAATTTGGTACTTTACTATCCTGAGGCATTTCTTTTATATGTATATTTATTTATTGTTTGAAAGGCAGAGATAGAAATCTTCTGTCTGTTGGTTCACTCCCCAAATGCCTGCAAGAGCCAGGGTTGGGTCAGGCCAAAGCCTGGAGCTTGGAATTCAATTCTGGTCTCCCACATGAAGGGGAAGGACCCAAGAAGTCGAGCCATTATCCACTGCCTCCCAGGGTGCACATTGGTGGGAAGCTGGGATTAGAAGCAGAGCTGGGACTCAAGCCCAGACATTCCAGTGGGACACAAGCATGCCAAGTGGCAGCTGAACCACTGCATCAAACACCCACCCCTGAGACATTCTGATGGCAGCCTTGTGTAGAGCAGTAATTCACCAGGTGGTTCATCAGTTAGTGTAGCAGGTGTTCAGAAGGAAATAAGCAAAGTCTGATTCTGTGGAAGGTACTTTATGGTGGCAGGAGATTTTTAGGTATGTATATGCACACACTAATTTGATGCCTCATTAGTGACAGTCATTTAGAGAAACAAGAAAACATTTGCTGGTTACTGAGATAACATTTAAGCAGAAATCCAAAGGAGATGAGCTGTAAAGATCAGGGGAAAGAATGCCACAGGTAGCCTGAGGGCCATGAGGCCTGACTTGAGAAACCACAAGAAAGCTGTCAGGACTGGAATAAGGTAGGTGACTGATAGGAGACAGTCAGGGGCCTGCATTGTGGTGCAGCAAGTTAAGCCACCTGTGATGCAGGCATTCCATAGGAACACTAATTTGAGTCCTGGCTCCTCTAATCCCTGTTAATGCACCTGGGAAAGAGCTAAAGATGGCCCCCTACTACTGACATGGGCAACCTGAACAGAGTTGCAGGCCTGGCCTAGCCTCAACCATTTTGGGAGTGAACCAGTGGTTGGAAGATCTATGTCTCTGCATATGTCCATCTGTAACTCTGCCTTCAAATAAGCAAAATAAAATCTTGAGGTGAAAAGTCAACATCTTGTGAGTGAATGTTGGGAATAAGTGCAGATCTAAATGAACTAAAACAATGAAAAACAGCATGCATGTGGGGGTGCTCATTTTATAGCTCTTGAGCAAATAAAAAGGTGAGTCCATATAAATTAATGCCTCATTGTAATGAATTTGGATTTAGTATTCCTTTAGCTTAGCTGCATGAACTGGCATAATTCATGTCATCTGCTCTGTTTTTGTAAGGTTAAGGTAATGTAATCCACATCCACATTTTTCCTCTGTTCTGAATTACATTGACACTCTCTTTACATTCTTCAAGCCATCAAATTTGCAGTCATGCATCACATAACAATGGAGATATGTTCTGAGAACCGTCATTATGTGATTTTGTTGTTGTGTAAACATCATGGTGTACTTTCATAAGTCTGGATGCTGTAGGTCAGTCACTGGAGTGGCCTCTGGGACTCGGTAAATACAGGATATAGGAGGCTACTGCTAGTGTCACACAGCTGTTTTTTCTGTATTGTGTGTGTGCATATACATACACACACGAGAGAGAGAACTTTCTAAAATAATAAGAGATGGGCGTTGTGGCACAGTGGATTAAGCCATTGCTTGGAATGCCCACATCAGGTCTGAGCCCCAGCTCTTCTTCCAATTCCGCTTCTTGCTAATGAGCCTAGGAGGCAGCAGATGATGGCTCAGGTACTTGTGACTCTGCCACCCATGTGGTGGACCAGGATGGAGTTCTGGGCTCCTGGCTATTAGGTGGGCATTTGGGGAGTGAACCAGCAGATGAAATATATCTCCCCCACCACAACTCCCCCCCCCCAACCCATTCTCTCTGCCACTTCGCCTTTCAAGTAGATGAAAAAATACAGACTTCTAAAATAAATGACATAAAGTATAGTATGATAAACTACATAAAGCAGCAACCTAGTAGCTTATTACCAGATATTATGTATTATACATAATTGCATGTGCTATACTTTTATACAACTGGCAGCAAAATAGGTTTGTTTCTGCCAGCATCAGCACAAACATGTAATACTTTGTGCTACAACACTATGATGTCACTAGGCAGCAGGGATTGTTCGGCTCCATTACCATCTTTCAGGACCACTGTCGTATATGTGGTACATCAGGGATCAAAAAGTTCTGTGGTACATGACTGTGCGTACTCTAAACTGCATTAATGTACATTAATAGTAAAATAGCCAGATGACTCATTCTTTCCTGCAGGGAAGCATTAACAATTTCTAGATCATGTAAAATCATGAAGGCCTTTATCACTTTTTTTGGGGGGCGGTGGTGAGGACAGGCAGAGTAGACGTTGAGAGAGACAGAAAGGTCTTCCTTTTGCCGTTGGTTCACCCTCCAATGGCCGCCGCGGCTGGCGCGCTGCGGCCAGCCTATCCGAAGGCAGGAGCCAGGTGCTTTTCCTGGTCTCCCATGGGGTGCAGGGCCCAAGGACTTGGGCCATCCTCCATTGCACTTCCTGGCCACAGCAGAGAGCTGGCCTGGAAGAGGGGCAACCGGGACAGAATCCTGTGCCCCGACCGGGACTAGAACCCAGTGTGCTGGCGCCGCAAGGCAGAGGATTAGCCTACTGAGCCACAGTGCCGGCCTTCACTTTCTTATAATGGTATGCATTTCAAAATTTGTAAGTATTGCCTAAGATAATCAAATATATTTGTTTCAGCAGCATGCTTGCATCTGTGTATGACTTAAGACCCTATGCTACCATGGTTAAAGTCAACCTTGTACAACCTTGTACCTCTGCTCACCAGAGGACATTTATCTACTAAGTATTCAGTCGTTGGGTAGGGGAAGGGATGACCTTTCTTTCTTTGTGTTAGGCCAATGTCTCCTTGGACTTCCTGGACTATAAGTCCAACTCTGAGCCATTCTTCATGATGATCTCCACTCCAGCACCCCATTCACCGTGGACAGCTGCACCTCAGTACCAGAAGACTTTCCAGAATGTCTTTGCCCCAAGAAACAAGAACTTCAACATCCATGGAACGGTAGCATCCCCTAACCCTTAAATTAAGCCATACTCATTAATTTTGTAATGTATTTGTCAGGAAGCCTTTAAGCCACATAATAGGTTCTCCTTCGTGATCTTTCAGAGGTAATTGCACCTGTCCCAAGTATAATAGTGTAAACTTGCCTCACAAGTGCTGTTCTGCCACACCTCCAGGGAGCAGCTGGACAGTCCACAGGGAATAGTAAAGCTGTGTCGTCTTTCCCAAGTACTAGTGTCCCTCAGGTTTTCCTGATAACCTCTGTGCTGGCTTTCCTCCCTGCTGGCAGTGGCTGAAACACTCCCTGGGTACTGAGCTGGGCTGGCAACAGCCGCCTCTTGGTGGCCATCACTAGCCAGAGGCATAGGAGAAAGGGGTGGGGGGGTGAGGGGTTGACTCAGTGCCATGTGGTTGGAAGGGGAAGTTGAGTGGAAAAATGAGCCAGAGGAAGGGACATGGCTAAAGGACACACAACTCAAATATTTGCCTCGTGTTTCGGTTACACTTCCCTCAGCATCAGGCTTGGACAGTTCTCTGGTTGAAAGGTAGAAGGCCTCCACTGCTTGGAACCCATTGAATAAGAAATCATAACTGCTTCTAAGGTTGTACAAGGATTGAATCGTAAAGCCAGACCCAGCCTACCAGTTTCTAGCTAAGTGAAGTGACCATGACCAAGATGCTTAACTTCTGTTTTTCTGTCTAAAGCAGGAAATCCATCTCTCTCTGCAGCTATTGTATGGATTAGAGTACATAGAAACACTTAGCAAACCAACTAGCACATTATCGACTTGTGCTTGTTAAATGTGATTTTAAAGCTTAGTGAACTGGGTTTTAAAGAGTCATGACCAAATATGTTTGAAAACTTTGGGCTGAGTAAGTTAGTCTACTCCAGGACTTGAAGTTATTCACGGCCTAATGAGAATTTCCAACAGAAAGATATGTTCTACGGTGTTTCTAAAACTTACTAAAGTTATTAAAGACTACTTTAATAGATGGAGGCTTAGGGTTTTATAAATAGAATTAAAGGTGTATGGGAATGGTTTTGATGGGGGGTGTGTGTTGGGAGTGGAGAGCATGCATCTTTTATTTAAATGGGAAAGACCCTCTAGATTTGAACTTGAAGTTTTAGGACATTGCTGTGATGGGATTTTTCTCAAGGATTTTTCAGTGATCCATATCTTGGGTAGGAAAATGAATGTGATGGAATGATGGCTAACTAGGCCAAACTCAGAGGCAAGTGAAGTTTATTTACCTATTAGTTGTTGTAGTAAACCCACATATAGGGTCAGAGTTAGAAATTTAATATCATTTTAGCCAGAGATTGCCTGTTAACATTCACGGAATTTCTTATTGAAGCTGCTAAGAGAGGAGCCAAGGACTTCTGGGAAGCTGAGGGGCAGGTGATAGAAAATTTTCCTTTTTGGAAACATGGGGGAAGGGAGAGGAGGTCTGCAGCTGCAGGTTATGGTTAGTTCCTTTTTGCCACAGTATAAATACTTTTATTTCAATCCTAGTAATCCAGTAGTTTCATTTGACTACAGTGACTTGGTGTTAACATTTTTTTTCTTCTAAATTTTAGAACAAGCACTGGTTAATTAGACAAGCCAAGACTCCAATGACTAATTCTTCAATACAGTTTTTAGATAATGCATTTAGGAAAAGGTAAGAGCTGCTGCTGCTGCTGTCTGACTCGGAGTGTTTTGAGGACCCATTGAATCAAATCATGAGCTGGGGACTGCACATGTTGTTAGCTTTGAGAAGCCAGTGGGAGGGATGATTTGTTGGAGTGTCTGTTGCCCCAGAAGCAGATAGGTTCCTTTACATTCAGATGTATAAAGGGGCTTTTGGATCCCAATTAAAGCATCCATTCTTGGAACTTCTTAAAAGAATACTGTAAACTTGAACCACTCGGTAGAAATTTTTTTCCTGTGCATAAAGTAAAGATCACTTATTGAGAGATCAGCTCAAGTATTTGACAAAAGACCCAAGGTTTAGGCTAGAGTGAAATATTTGCAGAAATTCCTTAAAAATCCATTACTTAGGGAATACTTAGTTGAGAGCAGGAGTATGCAAACTTTTTCTGTAAAGGACTACACAGGATATGTTATAGGCTTGCAGGCCATGTGGTGGTCTCTGTCCTAGTTATTCATCTCTGATGTAGCATAAAAGCAGCATAGGTGATCTGTCAATGAATGAGCTGTTATATAAAAACAGGCAACAGGCAAGATTTTTCTCCAGGTGTCATAGTTAGCTGACCCAGAGAGAGAGACTGTGTGCTCTGATCCACTGTTTCACTCCCCAGATGCCTGCAGCAAACACAGCCAGGAACTCAATCCAGGTCTCATGAGAGTGGCAGGAATCTAATCACTTGAACCACTGTTTCTGCCTTCCAGGGACTGTATTAGCAGTAAGTTGGAGTCAGATCCAGGATTGGGTATCAAATGCAGGCACTTTGGTATAGGACACAGGTGTCATGATAACTAGGCCAATGCCTGCCCCAAACCCTAGTTTAGACTTTAAATGAAGTGGCGCAGGCCTATCTGAATTAATTAGTATTAGTATCAAGTAGTATTGAATTGACAGCTTTCCCTTCCAGTTGTTCACTAGTGGCAGTGAAAGAATGAAGCTAATTGGTTATAAAAAGTCTGCTTTATTTCTTTGGAAAAAGTAACTTCAGAATGAATGAATTCTTGAATTTTCTAGTCTGTTTCTTGCAGTGAGGAGAGCTAGGAAGCAATTTGAATTGGCGCATTTGAGGAGAGCCATTTGGAGGTTATCTTTATTGGAAAGAGGGGTCTTTATCTTGCCTGTTTGGGCAAGATGATGCTATCTCGGCTGTTGCCCCCAGAAGTCCCACTTACTCCCTCTGTTCATGTTCAGGTGGCAGACTCTGCTGTCAGTGGATGACCTGGTGGAGAAACTGGTCAAGAGATTGGAGTTCACTGGCGAGCTCAACAACACCTACATCTTTTATACATCAGATAATGGCTATCACACAGGTGAGAGGCGGGCTAGGTATTCCTGTGGGCTTTGGGTAACAAAGCAAAGAGAAGTTCTCAGTCAGTAGCCCTGGCAGAGAGTTAGAGTCCTTTTACAGCCATGGAGATGCCAGGGGACCCCTGATTAAAGGGCCTCATCATTCCCACGTGGAAAAAACAAGTTTCATTGTTTGCTTTTTCTTTTCTTTTTTAATTTTTAGATTAAGGTGTAATAGACCTTCTTGTGGGATACAGTGCAATCTTTGACTACATACACTTGCAGTATAAATTGATTATACAGGCAGTTAGCCTTTCTGTTTCCTTATCTTTATATTTGAAGCTGTCAGCTCTTCTCTCCCAGTGCTGTATGCAGCACATATACATGATTGTGAACTACAGTCCCCTACACTGAGGTGCAGAACACAACTGCCTGTTGTGTGCCAAGTTACATGATGGCTTAGGAGCAGAGCAGACCATGAGTTTGGTGGGTTGGAGGCAGGTTTTACTTTACAGGCGAGGTAAGATTGAACTTGATCTCAAAGGTAAGCAGGACCTAGAGACTAGGAGTAAGATATTCTAGACAGGAAGACCAAGAGAAGATGGTCTTGGGGGGAAGAACATTCTTGCTAAATCAAGGAATTGGTGTTTCGGGAGTTTTTGTATTTTCAAAATTACATTATGAGTCAGCTCCGTGTCCTTGACGTTTATCTTGTCTACTTGTACCTTCTGTTAAACTTTCCTTTACCGTCTATAAATTTTCACTTGAATGGAAAGCAGCCCAGGGCTTGTTTACATAGGAGCAGATTGATTAGCCATTTAATGTATTAATATTTTTAAGCAAAGTAGAGATGAGTAAAACCCCTATGGTTCAGTGCACATGGCTAGTCTTTTGAATTCTTACTGTCCCTCCCCATGCTTTTATTGTTTTGCTAGAATGTTTTGAAGCAGTTCTCAGACATGTGATTCCTCACATTAATACCGATTGTGCATCTAATCTGTTTTTAAGAACTAGACAGTCTGTGTGCTACCACTAGTTTTTGTCATTTGCCACTGATTTACTAGGAAGAGCGGGTCTTTTGTCACTTAGAATAGCTCACATTCTGCGTTTGGTAGTTGCTGTATTATGATCCCTCCACTCGGTCATCTCTACCTGACATTTCCTATAGATTGGTGGTTGGGTCAAGAGACTCGATAGAAATGTGTGTTTTCAGGCGAGAATGTTTGCTTTGTGGTGCTGCTGTGTACTTCTCATTGTCACAAGATCTGGCTCGTGGTTTCTGACTACAACACTCTGAATGCCTGTATTGACAGTTACAGTGGTTTCAGCTTGAACCCGTCCAGTGAACTCCCATGAACTTTTTTTTTTTTTATGACATTTATTTATTTGAAAGGCAGAGTTACAAAGACACAGAGGCAGAGAGAGAGTGAGTCTTTCATCCACTGGTTCACTCCCCAAATGGCTGCAACAGCTGGAGCTGGGCCGATCTGCAGCCAGGAGCCTGGAGCTTCTTCTGTGTCTCCCACATGGGTGCAGGGATCCAAGCACTTGGGCCATCTTCTACTGCTTTACCAGGCCATAGCAGAGAGTTAGATCGGAGATTGAGCAGCCAGGACTCAAACCAGTGCCCACATGGGATGCCGGCACTGCAGGCAGCAGCTTTACCTGCTACGCCACAGCACCGGGTCCCTCCCATGAATCTTTGTCATTGAAGCTTCCATTGATTATTAAATGACATCATTTAAGATTCCATTGTTGATTGTTGGTTAAATCCATTATTCCTTTAGAAACTGCGAAATGATGATTTCATAGTTCTGTACTCTTATGCATTTATTAGCTGGGAATCCTTAGAGAAGAACTTCCCTTCATCAATTATTTAGCTGTCTTGAAAAGCAGTTCATTCAGGAAAAGAAAGATAATGTTTTGTCCCTTTATTTCGCAGTCTCTGGAGTACCTTCATTCAGTTGTGGTCAGGTTGAATATCATGCATATAATGGATTTTATGGACTTTAAGACAAGCTCACTTCTTTAAAATTTAAGTTTGAGGCAGATAAACAGAGCTTCCATCCTCTGGTTCATGATTCAAATGTCACAATGGTCAGGGCTGAAACCAAGAGCCAAGAATTCAATCCAGATCTCCCAAATGGGTGTCAGGGACCCAAATACTTGAAACATCACCACTGCCTCCCAGGATCTGCATTAGCAGGAAGCTGGGGTTGGGAGCAAAACGGAGTATCAAACCCGGGCACTGAGATACAGGACACAGGTGTCTTACTGGCCTGGCCAATGTTCAGTGGCTTACAGCCATTTTTTCTGCTCAGTTTGTTCTGCTTGAAAAACAAAAGGAGTTCCTTCATCTGTTTAAAGAAGATGAACTCAGTTTTTCCCATCATGTAGGAATAAGACCCAGGCAAATAGAAGCTTTCTATTAAAACACCAACCTTAGTAAAACAAAGTTGTTTTAGTTTTTGTTATTGATTAAGTGAATGAAATAAAGTATGGGCAGCACTTCTGTCTTGGTGCCATCTTTATCCTGTGCATTTTGTTTTCAGGACAGTTTTCATTGCCAATAGACAAAAGACAGCTGTATGAGTTTGATATCAAAGTTCCACTGTTGGTTCGAGGGCCTGGGATCAAACCAAATCAGACAAGCAAGGTAGGTGCCTGACAAGCTGATGGCGCACACAGGTAGGCACTCAACCTGAGAAAATAAGGCTGTTCTCCTGAGAGGAACATCCTCCGAGGATGAAGGCTGATCAGCATAAGATCTTGGGTATTTATGAGCCTTTTTAAATGATTATTTTCATTCTATTTGAAAGGCAAGAAGTAAAAAAGAAAGCTCTTTGATCTACTGGTTCACTCCCCAAATACCCACAACAGCCAGGTCTGAGCCAGACCAAAACCAGGAGCCCAAAACTCAATCTGTGACTTCACATGGGTGGCAGGGGTCCAAGTACTTGAGCCATCATTTGCCTCCCAAGTTATTAATTAGCAGGAAGATGGATCAGAAGCAGAGAAGCTGGGACTCAAACCAAGTGCTCTGATATAGGATGCAGGTGTCCCAAGCGTATCTTAACCACTATGCTGAATGCTTGCCACCCCTTCTTTGTATAAATTCTCCACTGCTCTCCCTCTATTAACTGTATTTGCTCCCATACATACATGTCACATCAGCATGGAGAGCCTTTGATTTTTTTTTTCTTAAAACTTTTTGAGAGGCAGAGAGAGAAAGAGATCCTATCTGTTGGTTCATTTCCCAGATTTCTGCAAGAGTTGGGGCTGGGCCAAGCCAAAGTCAGGAGCTGGAAGCTCAATACACATCTCCCTTGTGGGTATCTAGGACCCAACTACTTGAGCCATCACTACTGCCTCTGTATTGGGAAGCAGGGTCTGCATTAGCAGGAAGCGAGCATCGAGACCAGAGCCAGTACTCAAACCTTGGCACTCTGATATGGCATGCCTGCCAGCAGTGTCTTAACTGCTATGCCAAATGCCCATCCTTATTTGTCTTTTGAGGCTAGGTCTTTGTCTTGGAGTAGTGATTCTCAATAAAAGGTGCTTATCCAAGTCACCCTCTGAAATTGTAAAAGAAGAGCCGTATTAACGTGCTTGGGCTGGGTGAGATCCAGCATCTGCTTCCTTTGTTTACAGGTGATTCTGACAGGCAGCCTGGTTTGGGGCCCACTCTTGGAGAGCAGAGCTCCTTAGTCTGCTATGTGTGAGTTCTCTGGTCATCTTGTTTAATGCAGACTCTGATTCTTCACTCTGAGCAGGTCACAGGTGGTGCCTGCTGCTGGTTGTCATGACCTCACTTTGAGTAGATTATCAGAAACCTATATTGTGAGACTGGCCTGCCCCTGATGGGACCTTCGTTCCTAACACTCCTCTGCTCTACTGGTTCTCTTCTGCAACCATCACAATATACCACACTCTTCTGCCATTTCCATTTGGTTTCTGGGTCGTCTTTCTAAATTTGATACCTGTCACAGAGGTACTCTATTCCTGGAGATCGTGGCCACCTTGATCCCCAGAGCACAGTGCTCCAACACTCAGAAGATGAGAATTGCTGGGTTCTACTGGTTATGTGTTCTTTCCTTCTTGAAAGCAGTTTCATTCCCAGCCCTGTGAAACCCAAGAAAGTGAGCAAGCATAACTTAAGCTAAAAGTGCAAAATGTTCTTTATTTTAAAAGCTTTTATTTAATGGATGCAAATTTCATAGGTACAACTTAAGAAATATAGTTGTCGTTCCCCCCATACCTCCCCTCCCACCCCTAGTCCTATCCCAGCTCCTACTCCCTCTCCTATCCCATTCTTCACTAGGATTGATTTTAAATTTAAATATATATACACAGAAGACCAACTGTGTACTAAGTAAAGATTTCAACAGTTTGCACCCACACACACAAACGTATAAAGTACTGTTTGAGAACAAATTTTGCAGTTAATTCTCATAGTACAATTCATTAAGGACAGAGGCCCTGCATGGGGAATAAGTGCACAGTGACTTCTGTTATTACTTTAACAGTTAACACTCTTACTTATGATGTCAGTGATCACCCAAGGCTCTTGCCATGAGCTGCCAAGCCTTTTGTGACCACAAACTGTCAGTATTTGGACAAGGCCATAAGCAAAGTTGAAGTTCTCTCCTCCCTTTAGAGAAAAGTACATCCTTCTTTGGCCCCTTTTTTCCACTGAGGTCTCACTCAGAGATCCTTCGTGTAGGATATTTTTTGCCAGTGTCTCGGCTTTCCTTGCCTGAAATGCTCTCATGGGCTTGTCAGCCACATCTGAATGCCATAAGGGCTGATTCTGAGGTCAGAGTGTTACTTAAAGCAATTATCATTCTATGAGTCTGCTGTGTAGGCTGCTTCCCATGTTGGGCATTCCCTCCTTTTTAATTCTGTTATTACCAGGCACTTGATGGTATTTATATGATCTCTTTAACACTTAATTCTATATGATCACTTTAACAATTAAGATGGCATTTTTATCAATTTTAATGGGATTTGGAGTCCCATGACAAGTTTTTAAACTGTACTCTTAGAAGTAAGTCCGGCAAGCGCCGCAGCTCACTAAGCTAATCCTCTGCCTGTGGCACTGGTACTTGGGATTCTAGTCTCGGTTGGGGCGCCGGTTCTGTCCTGGTTGCTCGTCTTCCATTCCAGCTCTCTGCTATAGCCTGGGAAGGCAGTGGAGGATGGCCCAAGAGCTTGGGCCCTGCACCCTCATGGGAGACCAGGAGGAAGCACCTGGCTCCTGATCAGCGCAGCGCGCCAACGATAGCAGCCATTTGGGGGGTGAACCAACGGAAGGAAGACCTTTGTCTCTGTCTCTCTCTAACTCTATCAAAAAAAAAAAAAAAAAATAGGACTGTATTGCAGACTATACAAGTTTACAGGAACACTCTTCTCCTCTCTACTCCCTTTTTATTTTTTACTGGGATCTATTTTCAATTGACTTTATATATACATATGATTAACTATTTTAAGTAAAGAGTTCAAGATACAGTATGAAGAAGAGAAAATAAAATTTTTTTTTTTTAATTTAAAAAAACTGTTCCTTGACAGTCAAGTTGAGGGCTGTTCACAGCTTTCATTTTAGGTGCGCTAGTAATGCTCACAGATCAGGGAGAACATAGAGTATTTGTCCCTTTGGGACTGGGTTATTTCACTAAGTATGAAGCTTACCAGATTGATCCATTTTGTTGCAAATGACTGGATTTCTTTTTTTGGACAGGTAGAGAGGACAGAGAGAGACAGGGAGAAAGGTCTTCCTTTGCCGTTGGTTCACCCTCCAATGGCCGCCGCGGCCAGCGCACCGTGCTGATATTAAGCCAAGAGCCAGGTGCTTCTCCTGGTCTCCCATGGGGTGCAGGGCCCAAGCACCTGGGCCATCCTCCACTGCACTCCCGGGCCACAGCAGAGAGCTGGCCTGGAAGAGGGGCAGCTGGGACAGAATCCGGTGCCCCGACCGGGACTAGAACCCGGTGTGCCGGCGCTGCAGGTGGAGGATTAGCCTATTGAGCCATGGTGCTGGCCCTGGATTTCATTTTTTTTAACTGCTGTGTAGTATTCCATAGTGTACATATCCCATAATTTCTTTGTCTTTCAAACAAATATTTAAAAAAGTTACAGAGAGAAGTAGAGACAGGTCTTCCATCCGCTGATTCACTCCCCAGATGGCCGCAATGGCCCGAGCTGTGCCAATCCGAAGCTAGGAGTTTCTTCCAGGTCTCCCATGTGGGTGCAGGGGCCCAAGGATTTGGGCCATCTTCCACTGCTTTCCCAGGCCACAGCAGAGAGCTGGATTGGAAGAGGAGCTGCTGGGACTAGAACCAGTGCCCATATGGGATGCCGGTACTTCGGGGCAGGGCTTCAACCCGCTGCACCACAGCGCCAGTCCCCCAATAATTTCTTTATCCAGTCTTTGGTTGATGGGCATTTAGGTTGATTCCATGTCTTAGCTATGGTGAATTGAGCTGCAATAAACATGGAGATGTGGATAGCTCTTTTGTTTGCTGATTTCATTTCCCTTGGATAAATTCCCAGGGATAAGTCTAATATATTAGATTTCTGAGGTATCTCCACACTGTCTTCCCTAGTGGCTTTACCAGTTTACATTCCCACCAACAGTAGGTTAGGGTACCCTTTGCCACTGGAAAAGACTCCAGAGGTGCAAACAGCCAATGCCAAAATTAACAAATGGGATTACTTCAAATTGAGAAGTAGGGGTCTTGCTTCATACTTCTGCATGTGGAAACCATTTGTTGAAGAGACTGTCCTTGCTCCAGGGATTGGTTTTAGCACCTTGGTCAAATATAAGTTGGTTGTAGATGTTTAGATTGATTTCTGGTGTTTCTATTCTGTTCCATTGGTCTATCCATATGTTTTTCGTCTCCAGCATTTGTTGATTTCTGTATGAGAGCCATTCTAACCAGGGTGAGGTAAAATCTCATTGTAGTTTTGATTTGTATTTCCCTTACAGCTAGTGATCCTGAACATTTTTTCATGTGTCTGTTGGCCATTTGGATTTCCTCTTCTGAAAAATGTCTAAATCCTTTGTCTGTCTCTTAACTGGGTTGTTTGGTTTGTTGTGGAGTTTCTTGATCTCTTTATAGATTGTGGTTATTAATCCTTTATCAGTTGTGTAGTTTGCAAATAATTTCTCCCATTCTGTCAGTTGCCTCTTTTTCCTGACTATTTGTTTCGCCGTACAGAAGCTTCTCAATTTGAAGTAATCCCATTTGTTAATTTTGGCATTGGCTGTTTGCACCTCTGGAGTCTTTTCCAGGAATTCTTTGCTTGTGCCAATGTCTTGCGGGGTTTCTCCAATGTTCTCAATTAATTTGATGGTGTCAAGTCATAGATTTAGATCTTTAATCCAGGTTGAGTAGATTTTTGTGTAAGGTGTAAGGTAGGGGTCTTGCTTCATACTTCTGCATGTGGAAATCCAGTTTTCCCAGAACCATTTGTTGAAGAGACTGTCCTTGCTCCAGGGATTGGTTTTAGCACCTTGGTCAAATATAAGTTGGTTGTAGATGTTTAGATTGATTTCTGGTGTTTCTATTCTGTTCCATTGGTCTATCCATATGTTTTTGTATCAGTACCAGGCTGTTTTGATCATAACTGCCTTATAGTATGTCTTGAAATCCGGTA